CTGTCGAAGCCCCTAGTTACTGTACTTTAAATTCTTCTCTTTGTATGCAGTGACATCTTAATTTTCTAAGGTTAAATCAAACTAAAAGTTTACATGCAAACTAATGCTGTAGGTAAATGTTCCCATGCAGAGATTGCCTACATTGTTGAAAAAAAAACAAAACTCACACCAAAACTGGAGGCCTCTCAAAACTGATACTATTAACAGCTAGAAATAAATAAAACTGTATAGAAAAGCATCCACTACAGTTGTACAAAAAGTTATCAATACAAGGTTCTTACTCTGGTGTTCATAAAAGCAAACAAAAGAAAATCCTGCTGATCAATTATCTGAATGGCTTTAAACTCTTTTTTTCTAGAATCCAGTTAAATGTAGTTTTCCTTTTTCATCATGCAGATTATTAAAAACACACAGGAACTCTCACTTTTGAAATGTATTTCTCCTGCTTGTTTTATCGTTGAGGCTATAAATTTGATAAAGTAGGTTTCAAGAGACACAGGAGAGAGGCCTGGCCTTATTCTGAGGATTTCAGTTAAGTTGAGAAATTAATACTGTTTATCTGCCTTAAATTAAAACCTGAAGAACAGTACCACGTGCTTGAGAGACCTGTATGGACGTCAAATCACTTCTGATTAGGTCCCATACGAATAAGATTCCTATATCATATTGTTTCAGATTAACCCAGCAGGCAACTAAACACCACACAGCTGTTTGCTCACTCTCCCTCCTCCAGTTGTATGGGGACAGAATCAGAGAAAAAAAAGTAAAATCCACGAGTTGAGATAAAGGCAGTTTAATAGGACAGAAAAGAAAGGGAGAAAAAAAAACATAAAAATAAAAGAATATACAAAACAAGTCATGCACAATGCAATTGCTCATCTCTCGCTGGCCAACATCCAGCTAGATCCTGAGCAGCAGCTTCCTGGCTAACTTTTCCTCTGTTTATATGCTCCCTCTGAGCACGATGTCGTATGGTATGGAATATCCCTTTGTCCAGTTTTGGTCAGCTGTCCTGGCTATGCTCCCTCCCAGCTTCTTGTGCACCTCCTCACTGGCAGAGCACGGGAAGCTGAAAACTCCTTGATTTAGTATAACCACTACTTAGCAACAACTAAAACATGAGTGTGTTATCAACATTATTCTCATACTAGATCCCAAACATAGCACTATACCAGCTACTAGGAAGAAAATTAACTCTATTCCAGCTGAAATCAGGACACGTATTTTGAAAATTGCTTTATCACATTTTGAGAATCTTTTGTTACATTTGTCTAAAAGTTCAGGACTAGAGGTCAGAACTCCAAATTTTAATAATGGTTGACACTGACTCTGTAGATCACCATAGTAAAACTACCTCAACTTTTTTCCTCAAATATGTTGCCTGGAAAATGTGGACAATGATGCAGATTCTTTCATGTGAGAATAAGGAAGGAAAGTTACAGCTTTGTTTAAGACACCCTGGAGACTAAACTAAAGCACAGTAAAAAGTTACCAGACTTTGACAGTTACCTGCCCTTCTGCCCTAGAACCATCAAAGGAAACTAAAAATCTTAGACATACCTTTTAAAGGTAAAACTAAACCTGTTTAGTTTTTTCTGTCTGTGAAACAACAGAACTAAATAAAAAATGTCAAATTGGGCAGAGTAAACATTAAATATATTAACTGCATGTTTGTCTAAGAAAAGAGAATGAGAACCAAAAAAAATTACAAAAATTACTTAAGAATAGTAAAACAATCTAGTATTATTGGAATTTTTTACATGACCAAGTGATGTACCTTGTAAAATTTGCACCACTCTAATTCGCTTGATTACTATGTTGCATGGTAAAAAGAAAAGGGATCAGCTAATACATATGGGTTAATTTTCAAAATAGCACGTCTTTTTAATTTTTTTTTTAACTCAGGAAACTGAAAGCCAAGCATTTAAAAAGTTGTAGAGGGAGGGATATTCTAGTAAAACATATGGCTGAACCATCTGGGAGTCTTAGGTTAAAATTTCTCAGTTCAGAATTTTCACAAACACAGGGGAAAGCACAGATCGAAGAGTTATGAACAAATAATGTTGGTTCCAAAAGACAGGTTTTCTTCCGTTCACATTCAATAAATATTAGGAAATAAGCACTGGACCATCATGTGGAGAAGGAGCTGATGCTTCCTTTAATTCAAATTTTGCTTAAATTTAGTAAAAAAGTGATTTCAAGAACTAATGATAATAAAAGTCACTCTAGTAAGGGAAATTCACTAACCACAAGATATAAACGGCATTAAAACTATTACAGTAAGCACATGTAAGCAACAGATGCCTTACATAAAAAAGTGGAAACTGAAGGGAAAGAATTTTGAAAAGAGAAAAAGTTTACACCTACACTGAATAGGCCAGCAGAACAGGGATAACTGGAAGCAGATAATGTATGGTCACTTTCTCAGACTGAAAATCCCAAATAGTGACCGTAACACAAAGAATTTGAAATCATGACAAAAATCATTTGAGAAGAATCTTCTTTGCCAGTTTTGCGAATAGTTTAATTCTTAATTCAAGTTAATGACTTAGGGGTAAATCCTGGGGAAGAAGTAAATCCTTCAACAAAGACCTCTGCTCCATAAAAAAGTTATCAAAGAGCTTAGTGACAAAATCCTCTGTCCCAGTTGGTCAGACAGCCTGGGCAGCTGGGCTATCACAGTTAATATAGCTTGTAAAAGATAATAGACTTACAACTGGCTACTTTCCATGTAGATTTTTGGTATTTTCTTCCAGAACATTTCAGGAGTCTGTTTTGAGATTTCAATGGCATTGGATCTTCCCCTCTCACCCCATATATCGTTCAAATAATTCAGACTCTCAACTGATCCCATGGACCCAGAGCCACATTTTCACAGGGGAACTTCATTTTATGCAGTTTATGGTTCACAATCTGACGTTATTGTGGAAAAATTACTTCCATTTCATTTAATGACAAACCACATATGACTGCATCATCATTTTAACTTACCTTGCAACAATTAGACAGTTACAGGCCTACAGGTTGCTGCCTCTGGCATGCTTTACAAAGCAGTAACAGTCACCTGTTGCCTTCATTGTATAACTTCTTGTCTTTCATACAATATTCATTGTAATCAAGCAGTCAAATTTTTCCATATCAGGTATCACCTACCTTATAATATATATGTCATTATTATGATTCCTACACAGTAAGCGTTGTATGTTCATACTGAAGTTAAATAAGAACTCAGACATATATATGCACACACATATATATATGTATACTGACATATATGGTAGAACTTCTCCCATTCTTTATTTCAAGTATATTCTTTTTGTAACAGTATATTTTTCAATTATTTTTCTCTTATAATTTATCTGTTTACTTTTCCAAGATAATGTGTTTTTACCTTCCTTGTTTTCTCTTGATTTGCCTAAGAACATGCTAATTAGTCTTCACTATATGCAGCATGATATTTCTTCATTCTCCAGTAAACTGATACTTTTTTACTCTTTTTGAGAGTATTACCCTCACCACACTTGTTCCTTTTGAACTCTATTATTTCCTCTTATTTTTCTTTTACAAGTTTTTAAACCATTCTTCAAAGCAATTTTTTCAGTTGATTCATCAGCATTCAGGCATATGCGTGTCATGTCTTTCTTGTATTTTCTCCCTTAAAGTTTTCCAATTATCTACAAATTTTACACTTTTCTTTCAAAACAGTTCTTTCAAAATGTTTTTTGTTCTGTTTACATTTTTCTTTATTTTTCATCTGTAATCACTGTATTAAACGTATGAAAATGCAGCCAAAAAAAAGGTATTTTAAAATTAACTTATCATCTTTATTAATATGTATGCAAAATTTGGAAAGATAATCTAAAATACACTAACCGTTCCTGTCACACGATCCTGCAAAATGCCATATTACAGCTCATTTAAATGTTTAACTTATATGTTATTTTTATCATTAATATTTTGCATTAAATTTAGCTACTATGTCATATAATGCTGCATCACAAATACTTAGGAAATGGAACCAAAAGAGTCTTGTAGTTTTGTATGCCTTTTAAGATGGAGACTCTTATGCTTAGGTCTATTTTGACACCCTAGAAACATTTCCATTTTTCATAATTGAATAGTTCCATAAGTCAAACTTAAGCCTAGATCTTCAGTTCCCACCTACTGATTTCACTTGTTTCTGCTGTAGCTTTTCCGCTTTGTCAGGAAAAGCTAAAGATCATTTGAAATACAATGCCAGAGCATTCACAACACCTATCATTCAGTGGCAAAGAAACATAATTTCAGTCTGTTCTGATTAATACTTCCATTTATGTAAGGGAAGGGTAGAAGAGTGCACTGTAGAGTAAAAGAGGGAGACTGGAAACAGTTCTTTCCCCAAAGACTCCTGCTCAACTTTTGAAAGAGTTTCAGGGATCAGTTCTTGGGATGGGTTCAAGACTGCGGACCTAATGTGGAGGGAGATGTGCCTTTAGGACCAAAGGAAAGATAAGAATATCTTAAAAGGGCGCAGATTTAAGGCACAACTATTTTTCAGATTACTTGTCTTCTAGCATAGACATATTTTTACACTGTAAGTTGTTACAGATATGTCTCACTTTCCCCAAGCTCCAGATCATTACCTATCACGGTACTGTAAATTATCACAAATGACATGCTGTAGCATGAAGTTCAAGCACTTGTGTCCTTTGCGGATCTAACCTAAAGCCACTTGTGAAAACAAGATTTAGGGCTTCTGAAACTTTTACCCTGTGTGACCTGGAGGTCACATGTTGAGATATAAGTATATTAGTTACCAGATCTCTTGAGTCCCAGTTCCCCTGTGTGATCACAGGATGTTTCTCCTCAGCACATTAATTCAGTCAGAGCATTGACACTAATAGAATGCAAGAAAAAGAACTCTCAGGTTCGTGCCCATTTTCCAGACATGACCTTGCATTTGATACCTACTGCCTATGCAGTGTATATTTATGGACATGCTCACTTTTTATCTTTTCCAGAAATTCCTAGTAAGATAAACCGTAGCGAAGCCAAACATCTTGCCGATGCCTCAGGTTCAGACAAAACAGAAAGAACGACAAAGAGGTCCAGAGTATCAACCATAAGGCGGATATTTGACATGGCAAAACACCGAACAAAGAGGTCATCCTTTTTCTCCACTGGTGTGAAAGTTTGCCCACAAGAATCAGTGAAGCAGATTTTAGCCAGTCATCAAGCTTACTATAGGTTAAGAGGTAAGGTGATGATTGCAATGTGTAATTCCTCCCTTAAAGTATTTTTTTCAGCTGAGGAAACACAATAATTTTCAAGAATCTTGTTCTTTAACTCTAGGCAGTGTATTTGCTTTGTGCTTTATTTTTACATAGATAATCAAATGTTACGTGTACATTAGCATGGTTTGAAACAGTTATCAGAACAAAATAATACAATTCACCCAAAAGACTAATGAACTCAATGTGATTGCATAGTGTTCTTGCATGGCAGAACATGAAGACCAAATTATGCTCTACCCTACTGTTTAAAGATGTACCACCTCTCTCAAAAGTGCAGCAGGTACCAACATTGCTACTGAGAATTAATGTCACCAGCTCAAGACAAGTAGTGAAACTGTTCATTGGTCATTGCACAAATATGTTGGTGTATCTGTAGTTAAAATCTGTGGCACTGTTGGTATTGTACAAACACTGAGATAATTGCCAGCAGGCTATGAAAAGACCTTAGTCTTATTTTTAAAAAGTCTAGAATGTTTTTTTCTGCCCTTTCCCAATTAATTCACTCCCTCCCCAGCCCTTTCTTTTCTTTCCTTGACTGTAGAGATGCCACAGAGTTACCACTTCCCTAGAATGTATGGTGCAAATAGCACTCTCTTATTCATATTCCCTCTCTTCCTCCCTCTCCCTCTCCCAGCTTTTCATTCTGTGGATTTTCCAATTTGTATTAAAAAAAAAAAAAAAAAAGCAGCATATTTTTGTGCTGCAGCTAGACTGTCCAAAGCTAATTCTAAAACCTAGTCAGCACTTCTGGGATGCAAGTATCTAAGGCAGCCTCTACTCTCTAAATCAACTTTACTGTCCTGTTTGTCTTCTATATTGATCTCCAAAGTTTCACATATGCGTATGTAACTTTGCTCCTCAGCTCTTTTTCAAGGAACCAGCTAGTATCCTCTGAAACAAAACCTGGATGTGGAGCTGCAAAAATTTTACTCCAGAAGCCAATTGTTATAGGCGACATGGGCAAACTACACAAATGTCTATAGCCATTCCTATAGATAGAAACATATTTGGTATCCATTGTGGGACTGAATTTCAACCTAACGGGCACTAGACAGAATTTCGAAACTTGTTTCTTAAGTACTAATTAATCCTGAAAGTCCCTAAAACTCACTGGTCACGTCACTGATTAGGCTGAAAACAATATAATGTGGGACAGGCTGGTATCTGTGATCTGAACTCAAAGAACTGCACCTATGACACTTTCTTTTAAAAACAGATTATGACAATACTAGCACCTTTTTTGGAAATCAGCACATCAGTTTGGAGTGGCATATTGGGCTCTGTAAATCTTGTAGTGCAAGCAGGTTTAAACTTACAGCTCCTCTTTCCTAGCAGAGTGTCCTACATTCACAAAATTCTCTAAGTAGGTGTCATCCAGTTCTTCAACTGAAGCTGGACTCCTTCCCAAAAAGCAAGCAAGAGAACAGATGACTGCAGCTGAATAATTTGTGCACTCATTCAGAAAAAGGTGTCTCTGCTCGCTTGAATAGTTGCACGTTTTCCATTACAATGACCTTGGTTAAAACCTCAAAATATCTTTCCTGCGAGAACCCAAGACTTGTGCCCTCCCAGCTGAGCACGCTAATTTACCTGATGAAAGTGATAAATGAAAAAAAAAAAAAAGTAGAAGTGAAAATGTGGTGATGTAAGCATTATCCTTGAAGCTGTAACCACAGTACAAAAAGATAATCTGGTAGCCACGCTGGAGTTTTACAGCCTCTAGCTATCTGCAGGACAATCTTACCTTTAGGTTAGTTCTTTTCTTTATCTAAAGTCTAGGAGGCCACTTCCACCATTCCAAGTCCCATGACACATTTAGAACTGTAACAGCACTGTGGATCATATCTGTCCTCTAAGGAATTTTATTGCTTCCTAGGAAAAATTACACAGGGTTTTTTTGCATATATATATATATTCTACACTTTCAGGAATGAGCACATGACATAAAGCAGCCCAAATGTAGGAGCTCAGACAGTTGTTATTTGATAACCTGAGCCTAGTGACCTTATATACCAACTCTGAAATAACACAATATAGCTTAAGTCACCATAAAGACAGTCTTTCATGTGGGGCAAACTAGGAGCATGCATGGAATCAGCTACAACACCTCCTCAGCTGGCCATGTGTCATCTTTATCTAAACCCTGGCAACTGGATTATTTTTCATCAGATAGTATATCTTTATTCAGTGGTTACTGCTTAGAAAAACAGATACCACAGAGTTGTAAGAAAAGAATGACAGAAAGTAACCTTAACTGCTAGCTCATAATGAATAAATCTCTGCAAAAGACATCCTGTTCCTTTTTAATAATCTGACCACATCTGCTCCACATGCAGCTGCTCTGCTGGGAGGGCAGGTCGTTCCTGAGGTATTAATGATGTGCCCTTATGCAGCTAGGTGAGTACATCCCTACAGCAAGTTTAGAGAATACCTAGAGAAACTGATTGTACTAGTTTCAGAGACATCGATATTTTAGATAATGCAGATAATTATCTCACTCTAAGTCAAAGCAGGTATCAAGTACTGAAAATAAATGTCCCCTCTCACAGCAATGAACTTTGCAAAGTGAAGTGCTAAAGGCAACAGCTTTTAAATTGCTTGCAAGTTTTTGTTAAAATGTTTTTTCTAATATGTTTGAAAATCCCCTTCTCTAAAAGCATTTAACTTTAAACAACATTTTGAAGAAGTGTGTTCCTTCATCTTGAGTGAGTGTACATTATATTTTCAGAAAGCCAAAAATATAGCTGGCTTTGTTGTCTCTACCAATACCAGAGGAACCAACAAGCAGTACAGAGGCAGTCACCCATGAATGGGAAGGCAGAGCGGCACCCGAGATAAACTGAACTGGTCCTGTTCAAAACACACCGGTTCTAGCAGCCACTGAGCCATGCTGGTCATCCTGCACAACTGAGTTCACAGCCCCTGCAGAGGACAACTTGTGTTATGTGGATGCCTCTGCAGTTAAGCAGGAAAGTCCACACAGAACAGCACTTCCTGGCTGGCTCTGTGCTAGCTTGACGATCTCTTTGGACCACTCAGTGATTTTAAACATGACTCAGGTGCAGCCAGGATTTATGCTATGTTTAGTTTGAGGCTGTGCATAGCGAGTTAAATGAAACCCAAATATTTTGGGTGTGAGAAGGAGCTGTTACCTGAACAGAAATCCAAAGAAATATTAGTACAGTTAGTCAGGTAGGCAGTAACTGTCTGGAGGAGGGAACAGTTTATCCTCCAGAATCTTTTAGAAATTATTTCAGCTTACAATGAAGAGGAGACTTCACTAAGAAGTGCACTCAGAAGTGTAGCCCCATCTGGCCATCTGTGACTCCTAAAAACTCACTATGAAGACATATCTAAGATCGGTGTTATCAGAATCATTAAGGGAAAGTAAATCCTGTAAAGTGTTTCTAAGCAGTCATTTTATAACCTAGCTGCTGCTGCTTTCTCCCCTCCCTCATGTACTCATGCATGTCACGATCCTCACTCACAGTGCTGGAGAGCAATGTCTTTGCAGCAGAGTCTTACCTTTTACGAGTTTTCCCTGAAGTACCTGACAGGGTTCTGACTGCTGGAAAATAGATGAAAAAACTGGACACCAAGCCCAAATATGTGTTCTAATATATTTTGTAAGATATTACAGCTGAACTTCACAGCTTTCTTGCGTAAGGAGTGAGCCAACAGAATATGTAAAAGTATTAGTCTCCATTATTATGTTATGTGTTTTACATAATCTCATGTAATTAAATCAGTTTGCATCCAGTAAGTGAAGCTCTCTTAGAGCCATTCCTGAATAATACCTTTTCAAAATATCCCCCACTGTCTTATTCTCTTTATGTTCATTTTCATTTCCCCAAATGATGCAAAACACTACTGTTCTCTCTGCAGCCACAGTACCTGTTAATATTGACTGATGTAGCCCTGCATTTAAGTGGGTGATTCATCACCATATTTAACATTGAACAAATGACTGTGTACAGTTGTGTAGAGAGAAAGAAAATCATGTTCTTTCCAAGGGGATTTTACCTATACCATAATTCAATTTTTCCAGGGGAGTTTAAAGAAACATAAAAGCATGTACCTGCTGCAGAATGTCCTTGAGATTTTGAAAATACTAATTACATTGAAAACTTGGAATATAATCAAATCATTTTAGCCTGCTGCTGCATTTCAAAAATATTTTTTCCACTAAAATATTTTTTTAACTTATGTGAGAAATATCAAAGTCTTAAATATGTTCTTTTTATCTTGTTCTATACGTAGTTAACCATACTAATGTACAAAACCTTTGTATACAGTTGAAATTATGATTATTCAAGTATGATGACTGCTAGATTTTTTTTTCTCCACCTCCTTTTTTGCTCTCACTAGAACATCCTGTATATCTTTGTAGTTATATACCTTTGAGATGAAGGAAGCGTGCTTTCTGTTTGCTCTTTATTCATGATGATAATGTCAGGCCAAATTAATCTCTCTTTTAAAATGAGGGAAATTAGCAATTCTTAACTCAAAAATGGTTAGTCCTTCTGCATAAAGGCAAATGACTGTCAACTCAAAAAGACCTAAAAGACCTAAATATCTAAAAATACCTAGAAGCTGGATTTGTTTACTAAGTACAGTAAAATGTATAAATCCCAAATAACTCTAAAAAGGCTTTCAAGTTTGCTTTTTGGTACAAAGCATCCATCCCCAGCCCCTTTCCTCTTACTCAGTCTGCCAGGAAGCTGTGTGGGAAGCCTTCCGTATTTTTCTGGATCGGATTCCTGATACTTCTGAATATCAGAACTGGGTTACTGCCTGCCAGAGGGAAACTTTCTGCATTTTCGACATTGGCAAAAACTTCAGCAATTCCCAAGAGCACCTGGAAATAATCCAACGGGTAAGGATTATTGACATTTGTATAGAAACTGGGGGAGACTTTCCAAATGCCTCCCATCTGCTTATATAAGGGCAAAGAACTGCTCAGGAAGAGGAGGGGGCATGTGTTACAAGGAAAACATTAAAGGACAGTAAACAAAAGAGCTAACAGGCTTCTACTCAATGGTTGGATACATCCACTAGTAAAATTCTGTTTTTCTTAATCTTTTTGCAGCGAGTAAAACATAGAACCTTCCAGGAAAGGTAAGTAGCACAAGTAGAACCTTGCCACTGGATGTTACTGCCTTTTTTGAAAAAGATATTTGTAGATGTGCTTGGATGTGAATAGATATACAGGTAGCACTGTGGTGTATTTGGTGTGTGCTGTGAGAGATGTGTACACTGTATGTATCGTAGTATACAGTAATCGAATCACAAATGATTAAGGTGGTCAAATGTCTGAGTTGCCTGTTCACTTTGAGACACCATAGAATGTCTTCTCAGACTAACGTGAGCATTAAACCCTGACAGAGCCATTGTTGTGTGTTAGACTAGTGCTGACTGGGAGTGTGACAAAAGATTGCCCTCGATTGCTGTAATTCTCGAAAGGAAAGTCAGAGAGTTGATCAGAAGTTTATCTGGGAGGCTACATTAAGCAATAATATGAAAACTCTATGCCTTCATTTTAGCTTTCCTCTGTATTTTTACACATCATGATAGTGTTAACTAATGTGATGCGTTATTCCTTACACTTTCGGGAAAAAAGTATGCTACTGGTAATGCTCAGAAGTCTGAGAACGGCAGGATTAAAGTTACAATACTGAACTCTGTCTCTCTGCATATGAATACTATGGTATAGCCAGGCAAATAATTGTCCACAGTTTCTCTGATTAATGTATTATTTTTTTCTTCAAATTTTCTTAGATTTTCAGGTGTAGCAAATAATCTTTTCCATTCATAAATTTTACTGTCTCATGATCACAGAGGTCTTAGGTATCTTTGTTCATTATGACATATGAGCTTTGAGTATTCCTCTTTCTCAGAAATGTATTTTTAATAATGTAGGGCCTAATTAAACTCCCCTGGAAGTCCAAAGGGAGGTCTTTTCACTCAGTCGAGTGCAAAGAGAAGCAGCAAGGCAATAACTGATGTGACTGATCTCAGAGTTCTTATGCTCTTTGTGAACAGTATGGTTTTCCCTAGGCACAATTCAGAAGGTAAAGTAAATTCTATGGAATTACTAGTATTTTAGCTGGAAATACAGGCTGCTGTGATAATGCATTGATGGACTTCATCTTTACTACTGTGTGGTTTAGGAAACATTTTGTATCTTCTGCAGATGCCATGTAGCGATCAGTCTCCAGTTAAAGACCACAACACATAATTAGTTAACTTTGTGAAAACAATACAAATATTACTTTAGTTCTCACCACACAAGATATTCAGAGGACGTGGTAAATCAGGAATTGTTTGTATTATTTAGTTATGTTATTAAACCTCTAGGTTGGTCCTGTATAGAAATGCAGCCCAGCTATCTTTTCTGTCTAGGCTACAAACTTCACGTTGTCTCAGTCAACACCAAACCACGCATTTGCAGTGCTCTTAGTTCTTTCACTCACATCAGTTTTTAAGAACACTCCACCTATATGCACTGCCTTAATAATAGCTATTTCTATAGCAACTTTGAGGAATTCCATTCTCTTTTATTTCCACTATTGGGCTTTTTATTTTATGCTGTGGATTTTTTCCACACTCTGCTTAGAACCCAAAGCAACTTAAATTCTTCACTCCCCAATTTCAGGAAAGACAAACCTCAAAGTATCACTTACTTAGAAGATTCTTATCTAAGAATCAGAATGTTTCCAAAAGCTACAAATGAATAAAAATTTGGTTTTAGAGTAGAAATTATTCCATAACCTTAACTGCAGGAATCTTTTACACATCTAGTAAAAAATGTACTTCTATATACATACAACTTCTGCTTTTCAGGCAAGCTAACAGTCTCAGTTCCAAAATTTCTTCATCAGAAGAATAAAACTTACAACAGAAAATAATATCAACAATACAAAAAAAATCCAGTGATGCAAGGCAGACAATCTGTAGATCACACCCACCATATTCTTACTTCAGTTTTCAGCTGTTTGCCACGGAGACCATAGTAGGCATTAACCCATCAGTATTACATCCAGATCCAAACATAAACATTCCTACAATTCATAATAATCCTGATCCAGAAATCTAATTTGAAACTATCATTAGTTGGAAGTGTCTTTATGATATTATAACATAAACTGACAACTCAACAATAAGTTCACCCATCCTCTCCTCACATCAAAGCAAGAAACAACCTTGGAACCATGAAATATTCATTAGCTCTAAAATTAGAAGCCCAAAGCCCTCTCTGAGCTATCTTGACATCATGAGATATAAAACAAAGGAGACAATCGTTGGCTTAGATAACATACAACATACATTTCTCTCTTCAAAGAGAGAAAAAGCAGATTCTATGCACTGATTTAATCTCTGTGACTCCATCTCTCTGATTGCTTGGAGAAAATCAGTCGTGAAACCTCAAAAGCAGACTTTTGACAGGACGAGTATTCCTTAGTGAAGGAATATATAGAATCATAGAATGGGTAAGGTTGGAAGGGACCTCAAAGATCATCTAGTTCCAACTCCCCTGCCATGGACAGGGACGCCCTCCACTACACCAGGTTGCTCAAATCAGTATTTTTGTTTGTTGTAAGAGTAAATACCATATTGAAGGAGAGGAAAGAAAATACATAAACTGTTGAATATAAAATATGATCTTCTGTTCCATCGCCTGTTTAACAACCAGCTTATAACATATTCCATTACAAGTAACTTCTCTAATTTAAATTACTTTTAATATAGAGGTCACTTCTACATTTTGTTTACACCTTTGACATTGCCAGTACATCATGCTGATCATTAAATCATTCATTTCTATTTGATTGATAGGAAAGATGAAATATCCACAGAGAAAACAGGTGGCAAAAAGCTGGAAGACATTCCTTCCATTTCAACAGGTAAAATCAAATCTGCTTGCAGTGTGTCTGCCCATTAAATAGAATTGCTAAAACTAATGATTCATAGATCTTAGAAGGTTGTAATTTAATGAATGCAGTAAAAGCATGACAAGTTCAGTGAAGTACCATGGAAAGGCTTTAGCAAAATAATCTATAAGAAGCATTTTTTGAGTTCTTTACAGCATGTCTGCTACTCAAATGTAGCATTCCAGGTTTGTTTCGCAGTCTTTGAATGCATATGTTTTCCTAGTTTCAGGAGAGTAGATAGTAGAGCTAATTTTGCTTCAATTATGAAATAACGTTTAGAGTGTCAGCTGCTGCATTTTGTTAGCCAAAACAAGCAAGCTGATGAAAATAAAGGATAAAGGACTTTAACCAGAAAGTCACAGTGATGCCAAGACATTAATTTGAGCAGATCATTCCAATTAGACCTACCAAAACTGTTGTGTGCTACAGTCCTTTAAAATAATGTTAGGAATTTATGCAGTGATAAAAATCTGTAAATAGGAACATTTTGGTTCAAGGAGGAAACATCCTGCATGCATATTTTTATGAGGGTCAAATATGACAGAATCTTATTGATAGTGACTTCCAGCATGGTAATTTTGCCTCTAGCTGGAAAACTCTGTCAAATCCTCTTATTACTTTAAATTGAGCCCTAAAGAAAGGTGGCTATCACAGAGACGAAGATTTTAATTGGCAAAATCAAGTTTAGACATTTGCTGATATATGATGCAGTATGACAGGAAATGATCAAATATTATTATCTACTTCACATAATTTCATTGATGTGTAGCTGGTGCCATTTTTGCCTTCAGTCAGACACATGCAACGCTACTGATGTTTTAACCTGGAAAGAAGGGCCATCTATTGTATAAAAAGTAGCAGCTTTACCCATGCCATAATGTCATAGAATCATAGAATCGCAGAATCATAGAATGGTTAGGGTTGGAAGGGACCTCAAATATCATCTAGTTCCAAACCCCCTGCCATCTTTCTCTGGCACAATCTTGTGCTTAAACACACACTCCATAATGAGAGCTTCTCCAGAGAGCTGACACCTGACCAGCACAGAAAAGGGAAGATTTTTGATGTGCAAACCTGTTGTTGCCTGATTTTACTCTCAACCCCCGCAGGCTCCCCTGGCACACCCCTCTCTCCATCTGCACCGGTACCTAATGGTACGCTGCTCAACGAGATTGTTAACGACACGAAGACTCCGGTGAAGGTGAGGGCAGCCTATTTTCCTGTCCCACTTGCTTGCTCGCTCACCTCTTTGTATTGAGCTCAGCTAGCAGAACAGAGGGGGAAGCCTTATAAACACTTGGTGCTTATAAACCATGACTTCTCCCCTCTGTTACTGCTAGTAGGACCGAAGCGTTTTGTTAGCATTTGTTCTGTACTGGAATCGTGCGTCATGTTTCTCGCATACATGGTAGAAAGTATAAAAACATGGCAATCAGCTTTTAGACAGTCTTCATTCTTTTCATGAGGGGCCCGTTGGCTGCTTTGCACCATTTTGTAATCTTATTCTTCATTAAACAACACAAAAACACATACCTCCTGAGCTCTCCGCAGCACGAGGGATAGGACTGGACCTTCCTGCCTTTTCCCTGCCAGCCAGCCGGCTGTCCAGCAGGGACTCTGCGCTGGTGTCTCCTCAGAGCAGCCATGACACGTGGTGCCAGGGGTGGCCCCCTGTGCTGTCGGTTCACAGCAGCTAGCCAGGGCCACAGGTGGAGTCTGAGACGGGATGAGGGTGAGAGCAGGGGCTGTTATTTCCCTGTAGTGTCCTGGGGGTGGCAGGGAGGTGCCCCTGGCCTCGGCATGTCTTTGGGAAACCTTCGGGAACCTCCCTCTGGAGATAGGGCCTGAGGGTGCGGGCTGGGCCCTGCCATGATGGAGCTGCAGGCAGGAGCTGGCCCCTGGCATCTCCTCTCCACTTTGCTCTGAGATTTTCTTCACTTTCTGAAAAGATTGCCTTTCTAGAGCGGCTCCTCAAAAAGCCACTCTGGGGTTTTTTTGTTGTCTGTGCCTAATGGTTGTAGGAAGAGGCTCCTGCTACCTCTTCTAAGAAAGTAAAATGGCAGATAGATTATGAGGAAAAAAATGTTTTAAAATCACTTATTTGTGATGTTTGAAATGTTTCAGGAAATTGGCATTAACCAGTTCCTCCATGTTATAGGTCTTCTCATTCTTTCTCAGCCCAGTCCTGTGTGACCAGCTCCCTAAAGGCTGGCTCCTCAAAAGCCATGTGGCAGCTGTACAGAAAGTGCATATTCCTTGGTCTTCTGTTTATACGATAGAACATTACAGAATGCTCTTTCTCTAACTGATAAGCCATATTTTTATGGACAACACAAAACATACATTCCTCTCAAACTGAAGCATCCTGAGGAATGACTTAGCAGAGCTGTTACACAGAATCGATGGGTGCAGAAAGTGTTCTCTCCTGTTTCACTCAGTTTTTATCATATTAACATCTTATTTTCTCTCTTATCCCCTGACACAGCGTAATTGCATGTATTTCTTGGAAGCTATCAAAACCTAGGTGTTATGTACGGGACAGATGTCTCTAGCAGCCTCCTGCCAACCCACCTGGCAACAGACATGGAACCCCCACCTGCCTGTGGGTTTCAGGCTCATGAGCTTGCTGCTCTTTTGGGCCAGTTCCTTCTTGATTGTTGTCTTGCTCGTTGTGTTTGTTTGTTTATCCAAGGTATAAAAAGCCTGGCTGAGAGTAGAACTGTCCTTGAGCAAATAAAAATATTAAAAAGTGATTAAAGAATACAGAATATGTAAGTATTGCTAATAAGTGTAAACATGCAATGTACATGCAGTACTTGCAGTAATGACAACTTGTTTCGTGTTCCAAGACCGTTGTATTTTTAACAGGCAAACTCTATAGAAGCCTGAAAGGTTTTATTCAGAAAAAAACAGAAGGCTTTTTTTGTGTCATAAAATACATTGGTAATGGAACACAGGGATGATATGTGTTAACATTAGTAAAAGATTTGTGAAGAAGGACTGAGAGAAGGGCAGAAGGCAGGAGTTTCCTGGGTGGCCTCTCTGCATCACCTCTTCAGGTACTTGCATTCCAAGACTTGAAATCTGAAGTTCAGCTCTACTTGTGAATAAGGAATAAGAGATACCTTCTGATCTTAAAATTAGTAAATGTGTAACTTTTTATCTAGAATGAATTAGGAAATCTTTCTGAATATGCTCATAGTGGCTTTCCTCCTTGTGGCCAGCACATCGTAGCCTACAAATGAATTGGCTTTTCGAGTTTAACATTATTAAAGGAAAGAATTAGTAAGTGTAGGCCAAAACTGCGAATAGTATCAGGAAACAGCAGACAAAATAAGAGTACTTTTAATAGCAGTAAAGTCAACTGCACAAGAAAGGTGTAACACAGGTAGGGCTAATTCTGCTCTATTGTCGGGAAAAAAACAAATGTAAATATCTGAACATGAAGCAGTAACAGACAATCTGGCAGTCTGCTCTGGTTGACCATGGGTTTCCTGAGGGTAGGATACCAACCAGCTTTTAGCATTTGTTTGTCATTCTCCTTGGTGTCACACACTTTCCTCCAAAGTGGCAAGTAAAGGTTATAAAGCAAAGACTTTAAAGATGATGGAAGTAAGAAAACTTGGTAACATTTTCTGTGCAAGAAATGGCTTTGTTCTTTCATCACCTTAATTTATGCATGTCAAAGGCAACTCTCAAGTCACAGTAATAGAAACTTGTTTGCAAAGGCAGAAGAATTAAGCCAATAGATGTGGCTAGAAACTCGCCTTTTGCGGGATATAGTTCAGAAAGTTCTTTTGGGGACGGGCTTAAAAGGGAACCCTTCTACCTATTAAATACTGAAATGTGGGAAAAAAATAATTTAGTTTTATTTCTCCGCTTTTTTTCTCCTCTTCTTCTTTTCCAGGAGCTGGGAACAAATACAGTCCCAGAACTGCCTGTGGAGCAAATGGTAGAATTCAGCGTCACTCTCACTGATCAAGAGTACACAGCTGAACTCAGTGATCCCAACTCGCCACAGTACCGACAACTAGCTGCCAAATTTCAGCAACAGGTAAGGAGCCTGCATGAATGCCAGAATTTTGGCTTTATATCTTGGCTGAGATTCATACTACGAAACTACCTTCACCATGAAACGGAATTAGAATCTACTGCCCTCATTCGAAATAGATAATTCCTGTTGTCTCAAGACCTTCAGTTTTCTTTCATTTATATTCAACTTTCCCCCTGGTTTAGACCATCTGTTCAGCAACAAAGCTAACAAGCCAATGTCTTTGTCAGCAGTAGAGCCTTAGATAACTGATGAACAGAGTAACTTTAGGAGTATCATTTGAGCATAATCAGGAATTCACAGACAGTACTTTGTCATAATTTATTTTCTACAATAAACCTAATAAGAAATGTAATATAAATGCTAAAAGTAATTAACTACTGTTGCCTGAACTGTTCTTCAAAGGACTTCCAGTCATTTTGTTGGGCATTACTACAGTTTCTGTAAGAACTGGGACATCTGTAGTGTTTTCATATAATTAATAATATTAACTGAAAGTTCAGTTATCAATTTAATAGATAGCAGTTAATGACCTGAGGTTCCCAAAAGGTTTTCTTAGTAAAATTAGCTAAAGCTTCTCATCAGTTTCGTGAGCATTCCTTAGTGCAAGCTATTTCACTATCCTCGTTCAGTTTCAGGTATGCATAGAAAAATGGTGAAGGATGTGCTGTCAGAGCTGATAAAAAGTGACTTCTCTGGAGATTTAGATATTATCCTCAAACAGAGCTGCCTGCAGACGTTGTTTATTACACATATAATATTGTAAATCAGCAATCTGATCTTTAAGTTATTTCATTAATTGGAGGGTGAGAAATGCAATTTCTTGATTGTTAAATTATTTTCCATTGTCATGAAATTTTATCTGTCCACTTTAAAGAGCCCAAAGCTGTTCTCGACATGCGATGTTGAATAGAAAATGATTTGTAGTCCAGTACCATGAAATACACCTGATGTGCTTTCCTCCAAAGGTACATCATGGAGGCAGCAGAGGACAATCTTGATATAAGGCAGTTTTACAAGTGCACTCAAAGGTGAGAGTGAGGAGGTTGATTCAGAATCAAAACCTCGTCCAGCTCAATGAACTCCTGTACAAATTCCAGAGAAGCTCCTGCAAAGGCTGGGCTATGGAGTTCCAAGCTCAGTTTCTAATTCATTGCAGGACACAGTAAGACGGAAGAGTTGCAGCAGACACTACAGTGCAAATGTTCAGCAGCACATCTGCATAACACAACAGACATTTAAAATCACATGGAAAGTGGAATGCAGATTCAGATGCTTACGCTACTCAGTGAATAGGGATTCGTTTGGCAAAAGTAGGAAACAGGGATCTACATATGTGCATATAGTTAAAAGAAAGCACCAATTTCATTATGATATAAAGAAAACCAAGAAGAGACTCAACAGAGTCTGTGCCAAGAGTCAGCTGGCAGAATATGGCTAAAATGGATTCAGTTGCCTAAACATGGACATTTGGTGCCATTTTAGGTGCCCTAGGTTATCCCATACATCTGTAAAGGCCTCTCAAATATGAGAGAGCTGCCCTCTTTTGAACCAGCAAGTGAGCAGAAGATGACATTAAGGCATCTAAACAGTTCTGTCAAACTCTCATGCATGAGTGAATGTTTTAAACGTATGCTGAGTTTGTACAGAATCATATAACTAAGGAAGAAGAAAGATCTCCTCATTAGTTCATATACTGTTTAAGTGATATGATGAATTAAAAGGACTTGATTCCTCAAAAGTTTTTTTCACTTCTTTTCAAGTGCTGAATCCACTCAACTCCACAGGCTTTGCTCACAGATGAAAAGTTTAGACAATGTGTTGCCTGGTACGTTACACGACCAGGAAGTGAATCGGAAAGAAACAGTGGAACTGTGTGTTTAAAAAATAATTCCTTTCCTATGGCATAGTAGATGTACCTAAAATACTTGTCTTAGCTGTATAAATGCTGCTAAAATTGGAAAAGACCAAAAGATCAATCAGCTGGGTCTCAAAACATTGTTAATTCTTGAGGTGTTGATAAAACACTTTTTATCCTAAAGTCTAAAAAATGTGTACAGAATTCACCTTTTCTGCTCATTGTTTGTTCTTCATATTCTCTCTTCTATTCAAAACCATGTAATTATATGTTTACATTAAAATTAAAAGTATATGCAGTTATTCTATTTGTACAAGACAGTTAAATTTTCTTAATTTGTGAATTATTTCTCAAATAATCTAAATCTACATTTGGTTAATATTTCTAAGTAATTAACAATTTACAGTTAAGGTAACTTGAATCACAAAATTATTCATGAACCAAAACTGCTGAAAATGAGAAAAACATTTGATTCATGCTGTTTGACTTGTTCTATTACGATATAGATTATCACTGATTTACATAATTACATTACTAAAAAAGAGCTGTATTTTGTACTTCATTTTGGCTATTAACAGGTAATACAGGCAGCATACACAAACTGAATATTGTGTTTAAGTTGAGCAATGATCATGCTACAAAGAGGGCAGTTAAGACAGTTTCCTAAAGGTCTTTCTGAAATATGAAAAATATTGTCTAGGTAGTCAACTTCTACTTGTTTTTTTAGTGGTAGAACTTTCACTGGATTAATGATTTTATGTTTTTCTATAGATGCAAAAAATATTTGAGAAACTTCCAGGATTCAAAGAAATCCATGTATTAGGATTTAAGTAAGTAAGATAATGGAACTCATTTTTCTATTGGCTACTAGGATTCTCCTCTTCCTTCTTTCCCTCCAACTTGAAGAGACCAGTATAATACTGGGATGTGTATCGCTAATAAACAGAAAATAGTTTTCTGGGAACAACACAGAGGCAATATGGAGAGAAGTGCGAACACATCCCAAGTGACACTACGCAGTTTAGAATTACTAAATAGAAGTAGCTTTGATTCCCTGAGGGGTGATGTAATCAATAATCCTTTGAAATTCTTTGCCAGCAACATTGTGTTAAGGACTTAATCCTTGTGATAGGACAAGAGGTAATGGCTTAAATGGTTTAAAAACTGAAAGAAGGTAGATTTAGATTAGATCTAAGGAAGGAATTTTTTACTATGAAGGTGATGAGGCACTGGAACACATTGCCCAGAGAACTTGTGGATGCCCCATCCCTGGAAGTGTTCAAGGCCAGGTTGGATGGGGCTTTGAGCAACCTGATCTAGTAGAAAGTGTCCCTGCCTATGGTAGGGAGGCTGGAACTAGATGATCTGATCAGCAGGAGGATACATGTTCATACATATAAAACTTCTCCAACAGGTGTTTTCCAGGTGATTCAAATAATTAAAAACATTTCATTTTTTAATAAATTTGTGTTCTGTCTTGCCATTTCTTTTAGTTTTATATGCCTTGTACATTTACTGCTAATACAAGCTACTGTGTATTTTTTCAATAGACAGTCTACAAGGGAGGGATTTGATATGGTTACGCTTCTATAGATGAGAGCACATTATGTAAAGAATCAAGGGAAAAACAAATTACTAATAGTAAGAAAAAAAAACAAAATTGAAAGAACAGGGAAAAAAAACCGTAAATTCATGTGGGATTATGGCACAGCATCGAGAACATTCATTCCTTCTAGTAATATTTAATACATGTTGAAGAACATTCATATTGCAATGCAGTTTCAGACAAGAGCATATTTCTTCCTAGCTTTTCTCTCTGCAAAATTGCTGGGAAAAGGATGGAGATGAGCAAAACAGAGTGAAAATTAGTTGCTTGCATTTTGATAATGAAAGTGAAAAAATAAAAAGATGACTACCGCAGAACAAGCAGAGAAAATCTGTAGCGACGTTTACAGTTCCAACTTGCAATAACTAACATCTTTCAGTTGTGACTCCAGGAGATCCGGGATCCGTTTCTGTTTAGTATCTTGGTCTTAAGAGCTGATAAGAAAGTATGTTCATCAACGTGGAATACCAGGATTGCTTCCCATCATCATCTAGTAATTTAGTTAGCTCCTGAGAGTTACAGATCAGCAAAGACAGGTGTTGCTGTCCATTCTCCCTTAGCCATATTGCTACACATATTAGCAGTACTTCCCATAAGGCAATATGGAAGGACAACATTAGAGGTATGCTAGAGAATCCATCAGCAAAGATAACAGGGCATTATATTACAAAAGGTCAACATAGGCATGTCTTGCAGAGGTAATTAGTAGGTCAAGTCACCACTGTGACTAGGGTTTAAGTAGGCACCATGTGTGGTACCAGTAATAGTTGCTACTACTGTCACAGGTGTTCATTGCCACCATAAAGATCATTAGCAATGACAGTGCTCAAATTGCACCATTTGTAGTGGGAAATAGGAAAGAAGATATTTCAAACTATCAAGGTAAAGTAAAAGTCCTGTTTCCCCACTCAAAACATGGAGATTCCCATTGTTTGGAAGGGAAAAAGTGAAATGGTGGACAATAGGCTGTCATCTTCACACAAAGATAAAAATTATAGGTGACACACAGAAGATAAGATAAATTGTCAAATGATGTTTTTGATGTACGACTGATTGATTTACTCGTATACATGAACCTTTGTTTTTCTTTCTTTTGCTATTCTTTATCACACCCTTTCTTCTGTGATGAAATGAAGACAGAAGAAGGAGAAAGACGGGTAATTTCTCTGTAATTCATAATTGAGATTAATCATTTCATAGACTACTAGATGTAGATAGATATATCAATATATGTTCTTTATCTTGATGTGACAAAGTTAATTGATTTGTGTTTTGCCCAAGTACAAAATCCGTGATATAAAGCAGCAAGGATAGCTTTTGCCTTAATCTGAAAGGTTGATGTAATCAAATTTTGTCAGGATCTCTCTGAAGGGAAGAAAATTGTTTGACCTAAGAAAATCCACATTCGTATGAGTAAAGATCTCTCTCAGTCATAAACTGAAAGAGAAAAAAGTATAGCGAAACTTCATATTTAAATTTTCGTTTTTGATCTGCTGTTTTTTAGCTGTATTCCCACATACACATGATCTTCAATAAGTATGTAGAATTTGATTTGTTACCTCCATTATCAGGCCAGATAGAATGGCAAAGAGACCAGTTACTAGCTTGATAAAACACAAGGAGCTTTGACTGGTAATACAAACAGCTACCAAGTCTTTTGTTGTTGCTTAAAAGTGCTGCTGGGGAATAATTTGTCTAGCAGTCCCAGAATTTCTCTTTTACTCCTAGTTTAAAATGAGGTATTGTCTAATGCTTTTCCTGAATTCTTGCAATGCCATATAAAGGTAAATACATAGCATATACTAGTTAAAGTGAAATTTCTCTCTCTCTTGTTATTCGATATTACGAAAAGCAGCATAGTGGACTACAAATGTTTTGCAATGTACTTGTTATTTTTCATTTTAATTAGGTGACTTCAGCATTTATGAAAATTGATGTATTAACAATTGTGAAAATTTGAGACTTCTGTTAAACAAGTACATCTAGGGAGAAGATATTCACTTTCATTCGGACTTGGAAAAGCTAAGTCCCATTCTGCAAAGTGATTTACTTGACACATTAGCTAACTTTCTTGCTGTTCTTCAACAATGAGTAAAAAATCACCCCAGATGTGATAGGATTTTTGCTTATCTGTAGTTTTATGAAGGATATCTGCCTTATTTTTACAGAAGATAATATGTTATGGTTGCATATATTTTTGTTTGTTTTTAAAATCAGTCCTCAGCCAGTAACTGATTTTGCTGGACTGGGCATTTTTGCATCTTCTCCTTGCAGATCAAGCAGCACTATAGCACGATATGTGGTAAACTTTGAGAGAGACGGCTCAGAAATCAAAAGCACAGCAGATGACATCTCAACTATTGGATCCAATAAGGTTGAAAATGAAAAAATTCCAATTTCTCCAAAGGAAGAGAGGGAGATATCAGCAACTAAACTCACAGTAACAGACCTTCAGCAACTAGTTGCCATCGCACTCCATGAAGACCAATCCCTGCCAATGGACCTTGGAACACTTCAGTTTACTGATGGTCAGTAGGCAGGCCGGTGCCAGGCGCAAATCTGCACCTTGCCATTTCAAACTGATGCAATTTCAGCAAGGTCTCCGTTGCTTCTGTAACGGGTTGTTTCATATTATGTACCCCATTCTCCTGAATGTTGCATAACATCCAAAGGATGCACAGATCTAAGTTAAATTTTATAGCAAAATGTACCTTTATAATTATACAGCCTAACTTCTAATCACATTGGAAGATCTATTTCTTGGATGGTTGTTTAGAAAAGCTGGATGTTTTGCACACTGGTTTTTTTTTTAAAGGCACACTAACTAATTTTGTATGTTTTTTCATATGTGTATTTACTGAAATAACCTTAAAATACATACCAAATTTTAGCTGTAGCAGCATTTGTTTTTGCCAACAAAATGTTTAGATAAACTGATACATTCTGTAAGAATAAAATTTCATATTTTAATGTAGATGACAAGAAAAAATTTCATGGATATAGAACACTTTAATAATAACTATTTTAATCGACTTATTCCCACTAGCTATTTTTAATAACCAATTTTAGAAAAACAACTTGCATGCAAGTACATTTAAAGAGCTCCTCTGAGTGGGTGAAAGGAGCAACTGGGCACTAAAGCCAAAACACTGAGAGTAACAGTGGTGTGGACTCTGGTTAAAACTGAAAAGAATTTAGGCTTAACGAACAACATAGTATAATGAGTCTTCACGGCCCATGCAGATTTAACTAAGCAGTTCATACTTCAGCTGATTTTAAGCATTCATCCATGGTTCAGCTCTCTGCAGACCTATCCCATTTATATCAAATAAAGAGTACAAAGAATACTGCATATAAAATCTCTGTTTTCCACATAATTGCTGGTTTTAATGGAAATTTATGCCTCTTTCTTCTTAACGTGGATTTTTAAAAGTAGTTTTTTGATGGAGAGTAGTTACATGTTGTGATCAGTTTTCAGTGTGCCACCGCTGAAATATTGTGCTCTCTCTCTCTAATTTTTTTTTTTCTTTTCCCCTCAGAGTCTATTATACCACCTAGTGATCTGGATAATGATATCCAGGCCATGGTCACTATTCCTCTGGCAGGCCCTGATTTGGTAAGTTAATACTGATTGTAATATTTATTTATTTCTCTATGAGAAATAAAATCGAACAGTGTTAAAATGTACATAAATATACAGAAAAAAGCTCTTTTATGCTAAAATACATATCTGCCTTTTATAAATGCTGTAAGGATGAATGTTGTGGTGTCATACTGCAACAGAGATACTTTTTAGAGCATTTATGGGTGAATATTACTGCTTGATTACCTTTTCCAGTTTTAATTACAAAGTATACAATGTCTCATCAGTTCAGTAGTACATCTCAATGACAGGAGAGCAATTTGTCAATTGGTGAATTGGGATGGTGAAAGTCATCTTTCTTTGACCATTTTTTAAATTACAGATAAAGTGATCAGGATCACATGCACATGCCAAACATTTTATACATCCCATGACTTCATGCTCAGTTAGCTGTTTGCAAGCTCCTTTTCATCAATGAAATTTAAACATAATACTGAAAGCTGCTTTTAAAAATCTTTTCAGGAGGACTCCATGAGTGTGGAACTCCCACTAGGTTACCCCAGCCCAGCAACAGTGGACCAAACGGGAGACGTCTTCGTCAACGAATTTACAACTGGAATCCCTGTGCTAAGTGAAGAGATCAGTGCCCCTGAAGACTTTAATAATTTTGTTTCTTCTGAGCCTGTGTTCCCTACAAAACCCTCCAGAGAACCGTTTCAGGACAAATCTCCTCCAGACACAGCATATATTGTTACTGATCACCAAAGTTTCACAGTGCCTTTCAGTGCTCTGGGTAGCACTAGCAGTCCTCCAAAACCAGAGGATTATTCCTATTTGCCTCCTCCAGCAGATGATTCTGCTAGCAATGACTTAATCACCGACGGCTATGAGTCTCCAATGGAGCAGGCTACCACACTGGCAGTTTATACCACAGGTAGCTTTACCTCACCTAATCTCCTGCAAGCCAGAGACGAGAGAAGTGAAGCTGAGAGGAAGAAAGAACTGACTGATATAACAGAGCCACCTTTCAAGGAAGCTGACCAAGATAGTCCATCTGGACAAGGTAAGGCACAAAAGATTTCTCCATAAGAGAGAGTAGGAGAGATGCAGTTGTCGTTACATATACAGTCATGTATAAGCACAGTAAGCATTCCTTTCAGTTGTGACCATCAACGGTGAAAAATTTACATTTCTGATGCCCACTTCAGGAAAATCCTAATGTACCTGACTTCAACGTTGTCAAAGGAAAAAGAAAAACAACTCAACAACAAAATCCTAAGGAGAAGGCACACTTTGTACAGAATATTATAGTAAAAATTCAAAAAGACAGAGCAAAAAGACACGTCAGAAAAAAAAAAAAAAACAAACAACAACAAAAAGAAATCCCAGGCTAATACAGAAAATTTGGTATTTAAAATGGAAGGTAAATTACTTTGGGTTCTACAAACAGATCTGGATGATAGTAGCAAGAGTATCATGAAATAATTTATTCTAAGCAAAGAGTACCATGGCTCAGAAGATTTTACATATCTACAGATCTGATGAATGTGAAAAAACTTTCTCTTCTTCACGTTTGTTTATTCAGTTTTATCCATACTGTAGGGCGTTTTAAATGCACCCGGAAAAATGAGAAAAAATACATAATAAATTAAAAAAGTGTACACATACATATGTCTGGGTGGAGAAGAGTCTTCATAATTAGCCTTTGAAGTGAAAAATACATAATAGACATGTTTCCCACAGTTATCAAAAAATTGTTGACCCTGCTGGTGAAAAAGGTTCAGACAAAGATAGTAGGGTTGACTTTAGTGCACAGGCAAATTAGGCTTTCTCCTAGAACAGCAAAATGTCAGCAAGGACGCTGCTTCCATCACCTTCATCAGTGGCTTGGGAAGCCATGCTAGGCACCATGGGGAACTATGGTGTGCGGGTAACTGGATTGTGCGGGACAGCAGCCTCCACTGGCAAAGCAGCAAGAGCCACAGTTCCCGCCATTGCCCTCCATCTGTCCCAGCTCTTGACTGCTCCCTTTCCTGCTCCCCTACCCAGCCCCACCATCTCAGCATTAGGTGAGTAAACTTTAATTTTATTTACACTTCTAAGAAGGCTGCACTAGCTGTGTAAGATGCAAGAGGTCACTGAAAATACATGGGAGGAAGTAGTTCTTGGATGAATATTCAGATGTGTTCTGTCTCAGATTTTTGACTGAGAAGCAGAGAGCAGGGAAGAACTTCATAGGAATTATCAGAATTCTCTGAAGTCCCTACGTAGTCTCTAAGCAATACTAAAAATTCTGCACAGAAGAACAAACAGAAAACAAATTCAAGGCAAAACTCCCACAATATGCATTAGCTTGCACCTCCACATTCAGTGCTTCCGGGTCCCCAAGAATGTCATCCTCAAAGCTTAGAAGTTTTCTCTGTACTGCAGGAAGTCCCCTGCTCCCATAGAAGGCTCTACTCTGTCCCTCTTCTGCCAGCTCCTGTCCTTACTCAATCCTTGGCCTTTTATCTCCCACCCTGCACTCCAAAAGCCTCTTGGAGTGAGCACGATGAACAATCCTCCCCACTTCAAGATGTTCCTCCTGACCCAGCATGCCCAGAAACAGCAAGAAAGCACATTCATCCTTGCTACTCAGCCGCATCCTGTAAGGCAAACAGGCAATGTTTGCATAATTGATCAGAAATACCCCACTGCGTGGTGATAACATCCCTCACAATGGGCCCACACAGCAGAAATGTGATGTGAGAGAGGAAAATGCCCACGTAGTGTCTTGTCTATAGTATTGTTCTTTCTGGATCCAGTAAATAACAAGATCAGCATTTTAAAGAATAAATAATGTAAGAGCTGCCACTGGAGATCATACACTAATCAGCTGCAGACAGGGAAGAGCACAGCATATTCCATAGTCACGTTGCTGCACCTGGTAGTTTATGTACTGAATAAGAACTTTGTGTTCTGTAGTCTGGCCCTTAATACGTAGAGCTCCGAAGTGAAAGGCAAATACTTCATGATTTGCAGAGTGACTTAAAGATTAGAAAATAAGAATCAGTCATGAAATGTTCCTGAAAATAAAATTTATGGTGAAAAGTGTTAAATGCAACTATTTTCAAATGCCTGCTGAGAAGTCTTGTAGTGCTACTGACAAAAGCACAGCATACCTTCAAATCACAGTACAGCATACCTTTAAATAACAGTCATTATAACTGTGGAAAAGTGTTACATTTGCAGGGGAAAAAAAAATCATATGCATTTTTCATTCTATTCACTCATTTAGTAAGAGACTTGATGTCACAAAGCCTGCATAAAACCACATATCTATTTCATAATTTCCTAAATAGCTGAAAAATCTTGTAGCCCAATAGTTCTGAACGAATGAAGAGAAGAAGCGGAGAGTATTTGACTCACCAAAAATACAGCGCGGCTTATGCTGAAGAAACTGCTTCCATTCTTTTTCTTCAGATAAAAAATCGTGAATAATTTTTTATTGCAATTTATTATAGTTACTGCCTGACTGTTTTTCACTGGATAGGAGGAGGAATACAGGAGATGGACCTCTCTCTGGCTCCAGGGTTCAACCTTTCTTGATTGTTCCCCAGTGACAGTATAGGACCACAGTTCACTTGGCTCTCACACAGGCTCGAATACCTCAGGTCAAAATTGGGATTAGATTCTGTGTTTATAAATGATCCTCAGAGACAATACATTGCAGTTTAATGAGTCTCAATGTCATCAGGCAAGTATGAGGACCAAGAGAGATTTTAGGAACAATAACACAAATGGAAAGTTCACCACTTACTAAACCAGATGTCTTCAATGATTTTTTCCCGTGTAATTTGAAATTTGGTAAAAAAATACATAAAGATTTTTCTTTTTAAAACCATTGTTGCCTGTGCCTACAGAGCATGGAATTGTTTACTTAAAGAGACATGGATCCTCTGTAAGTACAGATTTGATCCTGTAAGCACCTGGTACTGACCCTTTAAACACAGCTTTAGGAAACTATTTTTTGCACATTGGGTTGGAACCTGTCAATCTGCGAAACAGAGCAAACTGTCTAGAGCTGTAAAAAAAAACTTCCCCAAAATAAGGCCCACTGTCTTGTTCCTCCTTCTTGAACACAAGTTATGTCTAAAACAAGCACTAGAATGTAAGAATTCCATCATTATCTCTGCAACTGAGTAGCAGGAGAAAAAAAAATATCTGTTCAGTGTTCTCTAGCATTCCTCTTTCTTCTTCATATTTTCTTTGCCTCTGGAGTTAACTCATCAATGTCTCTTCTGCATGGTTAAATGTCTTCTCCCTCTCTTTGCAGTTCTCCTGTGACTCTATCTAAAACAATTTGACCTTTCAGAAAGGAAGCCACTTGTCTAACATATTAGACAGATTGTCATTTCAAAAACCAATAAAATTTCAGCAGTAAAACAAATGCAAACAAATGTATAAACAGATATAAGAGTTCATGAAGTCTGTAACAACAGTAATGATATTCTTCTACATCCTAAACAGTAAGAAGAATTTGAATTTGTTTTAAGGGTAGCTACCAACAAATTATACAATCCAGGTAAAGGGTTATCTCAAAATCCTGACCATCATGTGGGAAGTAGTGTTTCTGGAGAAGTTATTCCAGAAGCATAGGACAAAATAAATCTAGCATTAAATACTTCAGCTTTTCTGTTGTCTAACATCTCAGTCTCATCAAGCTCTCAAGAAAGACTCTGAGAGAAGATGACTCTTCAGGGTGTATCACAGGGATTTTTCTGTGAGAAAAAGTCCTAATGAGGAATAGATGGTGGTCATACCTCTGTGTGTGTAACGGATAAGAACCTCATTAATTTCCATAATTGCCCTCACGTTCACACAGCCTTGTTGTGAGTGTCCCCCTCTGATATCTTCTGCCTGCCCAACAGTTAAATCGGCTGTGCACTCCCCACTCAACAAGTATTTCTAAGCAATCTCTAGAAAAACTCAGTTTTCTGGAGGTTTGCGAATTCTTTCTGCCTCTGATTCATCCCCAGCTGTCTAAGCCCATCCGTGCTTAGCATAGCTTTTTGTTCAGCATAACCAGAATTGTTATGGAAAAGAAAACCCCATTACTTCTTGCAAGAAACACTCTGGATGATCCCGGGATTGGAATTGACCCATTCGTTGTGCCGGAAATCCTCAGCATTTTTTTCACATCGATGGTTATACAGGGTAAGAACTCCCCTGTTTCCTTGCATGCTTTTCTTGTTTTCTTATGTTTTCTTTGATCATAAACTGACAGGCTTTTATCAACATTCTCCCTCATCAGCTCTTCTCTGTACCCTTTCACTTGTCGCTTGCCGCTTCAAATGTGTGAAGAATTCCTTTCATGGAGGTGCTGCTTCAGTCTGATGCTTGGGGAGGTGAACAGGTAGGTCTAACTATGTCATTTTCTCAAGTATTATGTAAGATAGTGATTAGCCTAAAAGTTATCTGTTAACTGCAGATGAGGCTGAATGCAAAAGTTTCAGCAGTCCCATATTGGGATACGTCAGATTTAAGAAAAAGTTCGTGGTATGTTCACTGTTGTGATAAAGTTAGGAATGCACACTCAGAGTACTATAGGTAGCCTGAAGAGTCCTGAAGATATTAGAGCATATGATTAGCATATGGCCAAAATTTAATGATAGCCTGCTGCTCAGCTGTCTCCATGCTGGGAACAGCAGGAAGAACCTGAATAGAAAAAAACTTGCATCACTTCTTCAAAACATACTTAAAAATGCGCAAATGAAATTACTAACCCAAGCAAAGAGGTATGAGAGAAACAGACTACTATTTATTTTCCCAATTTAACACATCACTTGTTTAAATTATTAAGCTATCCAGTCACTTCTGTTCAGTTTTACTTTAAGGTTAAGATTGGCTTCCTTCAAATAGGATTTCTTATTCATGTCCTCCCAAATAGGCAATATAAATGCACATTAACCAAAACAAGCAAAACTTTATTTTATATGCAATTGTAATTCCAATGACTCATTGAAATTACTGTGTGAAGTACAGAAAACAAATTATATTTCTGCTAAGAAAATTTGCTTATCC